CCCTCCCACACGCCAAACCCCTTGGCCCAGCCCCGGAGCCTCCCCTTTTTTCTCATTAGAAGCCTGACCACTGTTTTCCAACAGTAACAACATCTGGGGAATAAAAAAAGAGAAGAGAAGAAGCAATGGGAAAAATATAGTGTGTGTGGACCATTATCCCCAGCTGTCTTTGGAGAAGGTAGTAAGACCTCATGAGGCATTTACGCTAGGCTTACCAAGGCTAGAGAGAAAGTGATAAAATCTATGAAACCAGCGGCGGGGAAGCTAGTGGCCAAGGACTAGAAAAGATCTTTACTGACGTATTCGTGTTTAATCAAATAATGAAGTTTCTTTTGGTAAAAAATAAAATAAGCGCACACTAATATTCCCACAGTGTTAATCTGCTTTCTGTGTTTGTCAGAGGGCATCATTGTTTAGTCTATATATCAGAGAGTTATAAAATAGCCAAAACTGTGTTTTGCAAAGGATTTGGGAGTTTTAAAGTGCTCTGTCTTGGTTATTTAGTTTCCTCTGAAGGCCTTTTGGGGAAGGCTAGGTCCCCATGTTTTTTCCTCAGTGTGAGGACAGTAGCAGAGATCTGGAGCAGAATGCCGTGTGGAAAGAATGAAAAGATTTCTTGCAGGAGCTAAGCTGGGGAGAAGAGGGCTCAGTGGAGAGCTATATAAAGAAGATGGAAAAACTGACCCTAGTGCATGGAAGATGGTCGGTTTCAGTTACATGTGATGTAAGCATGCTGGGCTATGTATGAAACTGAAGCAAGCTTTCTAGGATGACCCTATTTAAGAGGGAGGAATACCTTACACAATGGCAGGCAGAGACTGGGCTTAAACAAAAAAAGACATGACTGACTCAGAGAAGCATGTGGAACACAGCTTTCCTACATTACTATCTGCTCTTACTTGGCATGGTAAATATATGTTGGCTTTGAGGAAAGTGAATTAAGAATAGGAAACTTACTGGCACACGATCCATTGTCTAGACCCAAGCTCTACGATGCAACCGCATTTGCTCCAACCCCTCAGACACAGACAAACACCTACAAGATCTCTATCAAGCATTCTTACAACTACAATACCCACCTGCTGAAGTGAAGAAACAGATTGACAGAGCCAGAAGACTACCCAGAAGTTACCTACTACAGGACAGGCCCAACAAAGAAAATAACAGAACGCCACTAGCCGTCACCTTCAGCCCCCAACTGAAACCTCTCCAGCGCATCATCAAGGATCTACAACCTATCCTGAAGGACGACCCATCACTCTCACAGATCTTGGGAGACAGGCCAGTCCTTTCTTACAGACAGCCCCCCAACCTGAAGCAAATACTCACCAGCAACCATACAACAAAAACACTAACCCAGGAACCTATCCTTGCAACAAAGCCCATTGCCAACTGTGTCCACATATCTATTCAGGGGACACCATCATAGGGCCTAATCACATCAGCCACACTATCAGAGGCTCGTTCACCTGCACATCTACCAGTGTGATATGTCATCATGTGCCAGCAATGCCCCTCTGCCATGTACATTGGCCAAACTAGACAGTCTCTACGTAAAAGAATTAATGGACACAAATCAGACGTCAATAATTATAACATTCAAAAAGGTTTCAGAGTAACAGCCGTGTTAGTCTGTATGCGCAAAAAGAAAAGGAGTACTTGTGGCACCTTAGAGACTAACCAATTTATTTGAGCATAACATTCAAAAACCAGTCGGAGAACACTTCAGTCTCTCTGGTCACTCGATTACAGACCTAAAAGTGGCAATTCTTCAACAAAAAAACTTCAAAAACAGACTCCAATGAGAGACTGCTGAATTGGAATTAATTTGCAAACTGGACACCGTTAACTTAGGCTTGAATAGAGACTGGGAGTGGATGGGTCATTACACAAAGTAAAAGTATTTCCCAATGTTTATTCACCACTCCCCCCCCCCCCCCCGTTCCTCACACATTCTTGTCAACTGCTAGAAATGGCCCACCTTGACTATCACTACAAAAGGTTGTGGGTTTTTTGTTTTTTTTTCCCCTCTCCTGCTGGTAATAGCTCACCTTACCTGATCACTCTCATTACAGTGTGTATGGTAACACCCATTGTTTCATGTTCTCTGTGTATATAAAATCTCCCCACTGTATTTTCCACTGCATGCATCCGATGAAGTGAGCTGTAGCTCACGAAAGCTTATGCTCAAATAAATTTGTTAGTTTCTAAGGTGCCACAAGTACTCCTTTTTTTTTTTTTTTACTGGCAGGGTTGATCTAGATGACTACACTGTGGCCTCAGTCTGATAAATACCAATTAACTCTTTTTTTTTTTTTTTTTTTTTTTTTTGTATATCTGTTGGATGTTCAGTACAGTCAGTGGGAGCAGTTTCCCACAACATCTTCCAGGAAAGGCAATGTTAGGTAGGGACAGCATTAAATTTGCCTACAAAATGATTAAATCTTTTCCATGGCCATTAATATATATCAGTATACAGGGATGCTGGGGATTTTTGTTTTGTTTGTGAATGAAACTGCTAAATTCCATTTTCAAAGTTGAGATACTGGAATTTGATCATCTTGAAACTAGTTTCAGAGAACACACTAACTTAATTTCTTTTCACCGTTCTTTATTTCATTTTTTGCACATATAATGAAGGGAAATACACAAAGAAGCTGGTATAACCTCAGCCAAAGCAACCCGAATAGGGAACTCTTTTGCATTTGACTAACAAATCTGTCTTCCTACTGCACCTTTGTTCTTGGTTTGTGGGAAAAACTTTAACGATGGCATGTCTAATGTAATCAAATTTGTCTTGAACCATTATTCTAGTATCGGAGCATGTTGCAAGGACTGAAATAGCGATAAAGGCAATCGCTCCCCTTACCTCCTTCAAAACGTGTAGGAGCAATGTCTTGAGTTGTTTACCAAGATATTGGCTGTCGGTGTGTTTTGCATTTAGTCCTGAGCACCATCATTCTGTCCGTGAGTGTGAGTTCCGTAGTGTAGGCCCAGCTCCTCTGAAAGGTCTGTCTCCGGCACTCCATGAATCTCCCCGTGTTGTTCAAGAGTTGTGGCATGTAGCCATTGTGGGAGGTTGTCATGGTTACCAAGGAAGAAAACATCTCTTAGGCACCTAGTGTTGATCCTACGAAGGACTTTAATCGGGACTGAGACTTCGAACTGTACTTCATGTTCAGTGGGGAGCCAGTACAGCTTGAGGAGGTGCAATGTGCTATTCCGAAGCGCACAGGCCGCTCTGTTTTGTATCATTGGGAGCTTTTTCAGAATGTGTCTTCATTTCTATGGATGAGTTGCAATAATCATGCCCAGAGTTCACAAATGTGTGTATCTCTGCCTGAGACCAGTAGCTCAAACTACATTTGAGTACACCTTTAAATACCCGCAACTTAAGTGAGCGACCATTTGAAGTATATTCCTTTCACACAGAGTACCAGATGCATAGAATGTTGCAACTGTATTGCATGCATGCGTATTAATTACCAAGACACAATGGTGTTGTCTGTTCCCCTTCTTTTTCTTAAACCTCTGCTGTTGCATTACTAGCTATACTAGTGGTAGCAATGGTGGGATCAGGCAGCTGCTGGCATTTTTGCCACAATGACATCTGGACTAGCTCTGGTAAGGGTGAGATGACATAGGGGTATAAATGACAGTGCCTTGTCTACACTCATGCCCCCACCATTGTTACTGCTTCTGGAATGCACCAGTGGTAATACAAGGCTGGAAGATCAACAACACAACAAGTCTACACTAGACACAGGCAGCAAAAGGCCAGACTTAAAATTTTTCAGAAAAAGGGTCATTGCTGTTTTCTGAAATGGTTTAGCATACTTACTGAAGTGGCGGACTCGTTTAAAATATCATTTTATGCACTCAATTAAACTATCCAGATAAATTATCTAAAACTGTATAAGAGATACCTGACAAAATGAGGATGTTAGAAAGAATATATCTATGGCAACGGAAGACAAAGTTAAAATGTTTGAATAAATTCTCCCCCCATAAAACAAAAATCAGTAAACAATTGAACCTTAAACCAATAAGTGACCTAAGGGAATACATTTATCATACTTCACAAAAAACCGTTCGAGTGGTGTAAGTAGCACAAACAAAAAAGAATGAATGCAAACTAAAAATTATCAAGGGCTGCGGGACTTCTGTTCATCCTCCAAATTATTTCAACATGTCTTGGGAAAGCTGAGATCATTATATTACCTTTAACTACAAATGCCTGTCTCCTTTAGAGATGGGTAATGAGCAGTAATGTCTGTATTTTTTTTTAAATATAACACTGGGATGTTTCTGAAGAAGTTTGGGGAATTTTCAAGTATTGAATTGCATTCTTGAATAAGCATATTTTGCTTTTAAAACTGAGTATCAGTTATGTTGAGACTCAAGCTACTAGTAGTTAGTCTGTTTTGATGGGGAAAAATTATGCAGTTAATGTGATCATACTGTATCATGCTGCAGTATTTAGACAGTTTGGAGGGGAGGGGAGATCTATCTCTGGTTCACAATTAGAGATCTGAGAGTAGTTATATTATCTTTGTTTCAAATAAAAAATAAAATGTTGGTTTATCATGTTGGTACTTTAGAAATCGTTAATATCATTCAAGCTGAAAACTGATTTTTTCTGAAACAATTTTCCTGGTGAAGAAATGCATGCACATAATGCTGGTACTATGTATGTCACGATATCTCATTTCTTTTAAAACATACACTGGAATTTTTTTGTTAACATGTTGCTGGATTCAGTATGTTTAAATTTAGTTTTACATGGCTGGGTTAAATATTTTATTGTCCTGAACCAAACTTTCAAAGGTGCCCTTTGAAACTTCTCTTGGAAGTCTTTTGTAAATGGTCATGTATCCAATAGGCAAACTGTGCCATGCAATTAAATTACTCGGAGATTGGTTTGGAGGCAGTTTGGTATTTGGGTGGTTATGCTTACATGGCTTTCTTGATGATCTGAAGGTTTTTTTCTTTCCTTCTAGGAGTGGATGCCAGCATGATTGAGATCTGACCAACTGTGTCAATACTTCAGGTGTGGAGGAAGGGCCTAACGTAGTTAACATCTGCTGAGCTACCATGGCAGCGCCGTCTGCTTTGGTGCCCTCCTCAATGATGTCTCTACCACAGATAATTGAGGTGAGTAGACTAATACAAAATTCTGGTAGAGTAGAGTTGATCAAACTTGTGTACAGAAAGATGTGAAGATTGGATTCCTAATCATTGGCTAGCTTGGTTTCCAGTCATTGATAGAATTCCTCCTAATGTTTTGTACTCTGGATATACTCGGCATTCATTGCATAATGTTGTCCTTTTTGTGAAGGGACGCTATTCTGTTAGTAGCTACAGTACTTTATTAATGGAAGCTAGTTCACAGTCCACTGTTATTTGTGTTTTGGTCACACCTTGAGGTCCCAACTGGGATCAGGGCCTAATTGTTCTAGGCACAGTCATGTGCATGCTCATTCTCTCTCTCTCTCTCACTCACACAATTACTCTCCATTTGTTTTTGTTAATCAGAAAACGTAGGAAGTCTGTATTGGCCAAAATATTGGTACTAAATTCACATACGTTGACCAAATATTGCATGAGCTAGCAGGGACTGTACTACCCCTACATTAGAAAAAGAACAATTCAGCCACATGTAGGGTATGTCTAAACTGCAAAAACAAACCAACAAAAAAAACCCCCTCAAACAAAAAAACCGCAGGTTAGTTAACACGAGTTAACACACTTTTTTTTTTTTGCAGTGTACACACAGTGTAGATATAATCTCTAAACACTTGTGAGTTCATCTCTTTTTATATGTCTGTCTTATCACAGCACTATTACAAAACTAGACTCTGATTCTTCATTGAGATCCAGATAGGTAGACTTGTGTGTCTGAATGAATTCCCATTGTGATCAGTGCACCTGCATGAATCTGACTTTAGGACTGTGGTGCTAGTCAATTTAAAATGTGTAATGACTGTAAACCAACTGGCATATAGCTTGTAATACGCTATGTCATCCAGGATCACTACAAGTGAAAAAAAATTACTACGTGAGATTTTGAATTGCTGCTATTAGTAGGCTAACGTAAGGTGTGTGTGGTTTTTATTTTATTTTATTTTATTTTTTACAGCCGGTATGAACATAAGGAACCAAAATGGCTTATGGGAATGATGATTATGTTGGAACCAAGTCAATTAATGCAAACTAAACACACAGAGATTTTTCTTTGTTTGTTATTTTGTTTGTATTCTCTGTAAGCACTTTAAATCTTTAAAACTTAATAAAACTAAAATGTCTTCCAGGCTACCTAGGAAGTCCCAATGCTTCAGTAAAATATAGTTTTTGTGGCGTATATTATTCTGTCTAGTCAGCAGAGGTGACATCATTTTTGCTGCAGAGGCGATTGAGACAACATTTTCAGGGATTTTTTTCTTCTTCTGTGTTTGGAAGTAAGGTTGCATACCTCCTGCGGGAGCTGGATTACATTTAATTTACATAAAAAAATACTGATCCTCTTTTTGAAAACTCAATTTATGGATGTAATTGGATTTTCTCACGTTCAGTGGACAGTTATCTAGGAAATACATTGAGAACACTGGATATATTTATTTTAGAAAGAGCAAATCTAATTTTTCTCTGCCCCACCCTCATCCTTTCATTATGGCCCTGATCCTGCACGGGGAGGTCCATGGTCCCTTAATCATGGATGGATTCCCACTGACCTCAGTAGGTCTCTGTGTAGGAACAAGAGTCCACACTTGTAGATCCTTGTCCAGGAGTGGGGCCTACAATTGCACCTGTTGGCACTTCCAGAGGTAAAATTCTTTCAGTGTCACCCCAAAAACTAAGGTTGGTAAGGTGATCTCCTTCCTGAACATTTTCTGGAGTGGGTAACAGGTGCTTTTTGAAAGTTTTGAAAATTCAGATGAGCTTCCAAAAGTTGTTTGGTGGTACTAGGCTGTCTAATCTTTTTGAGAATTGCCCATCACTAATTTCAGCACCGTCAAAGGTTCTGATGCTTTGGTAAAGTCTTCTGAATGATCAAAACCTCCTCACTAGAGTCCCTTCATAAGCCCTCTCACCCTGCTGAGCTGTCTCAGGTTCTCGGTACACCACCCTTTTCCCCCTTCCAGCATACTGTTACCACAGATAAAAAATGATTAGGTACTTGGGTGCATGGCTTAAGGGATCTTAGTAAAATTTATAGCTGAAGAGTGGTGAATGTTCAGGGCAGTTTGCTCATCCAGAATTGAAACCTAGTATAAGCAATCTCTGCTCCAGGAGGCTGTTCTACACATTAAACGAATCCATTTGTTTTTCATTCCAGTAACTCATAAAGTGTTCAGATGTTTTAGGCATTTTTATTTTTCCAATACATTTTAAAAAGATATAGTCACATTCCACGGTAGGGACTTGTCTTTCTAATTTCCAAATGGTTAGGCCATTTTATTTCTAAAAGTCTTATTGTAAGAATTTGTAATATTCTTATTGGCCACTTTTGCTGGAGTTAATTAATAATGAATAACAGTAGAAATCCTCGAGTGGTATCTTTTTACTGAAGATTATCCTACATTAACCTCAAACAAGGTTCTTTGGGTCTATCACATCTTTTAACATGGGACTTAAAGAGTTAGTCAAGATTTAACTAGTATAAAAGATCACTGTTTTTCCGTAGCTTTTCTTTGGTACAAGGATAGATTATCCATAATCTGTCCATACTGTACATTAATTTTGCAATTCAATTTGGTATGGCTGTTAGCTCCTCTTTTTTTATATTCAGTATGCGGAAAAGAAGAATGAGGGGGGATTTGATAGCTGCTTTCAACTACCTGAAATGGGGTTCCAAAGGGGATGGATCTAGACTGTTCTCAGTGGTAGCAGGTGACAGAACGAGGAGTAATGGTCTCAAGTTGCAGTGGGCAAGTTTAGGTTGGATATTAGGAAAAACTTTCTCACCAGGAGGGTGGTGAAGCACTGGAATGCGTTACCTAGGGAGGTGGTGGAATCTCCTTCCTTAGAGGTTTTTAAGGTCAGGCTTGACAAAGCCCTGGCTGGGATGATTTAGTTGGGGATTGGTCCTGCTTTGAGCAGGGGGTTGGACTAGATGACCTCCTGAGGTCCCTTCCAACCCTGATATTCTATGATTGATTCACCACTAACTTGCAAAATAAGTAATGTCCCTCTCTGCCTTCAGTGCCTAAAATCTTTGCCCCATTTTAATCTTTCTTTTGTTTAATGTGAAATTATGTGTAGATCACGAAAGACGGTTATGGTTTGTCACTGTATGTAGTACAGTGTTCAATATAATTTAACTTCCTTTTGTTAAAACTTGCATGTAACTTAAAATGTTCTCCATCTCAAGTTTGTGCTCGCATTGTATGTGAAGATGTGTGCACATCCTGATGGCAATGCAGATTATTTCTTAGAAGTTTGTGAAGATTATGAAGTTTAGGAGAGGGAGGTGACTAGGAAATACGAATAACTTCTGTTAAAGCTGCTCACTGTACGTACCAACGCCTCTCAAATCCTTCAAGGAAAGGCACTGGAACGATGAAAGAATCTAAGAATAAATCTCTCAGGTGTTGGTTACTTTTCCCACATACAGAAATGGATAGCCGTAGGTTGTAAGTTCTTTGGGGCAGGGGGCCATCTTTTCGTTTTGTGTTTGTACAGCATCTAGCATACTGGGATCCTGATTCATGCTTAGGGCTCAGAGGCATTACTGCAATACAAATAATAATAGTAAAAAAATCACCCCCCTTCACTGAAGTAGTAGTAAAGACTCAACGTAACCAGGACTTGACAAACATGATTCTTCATCTTCAGAGTCTTGGACTGATTTTTTTAAAGTGTGACTTCTTCCTACTCCTTTTTCCTCCTTCCTTTCAGCCAGTCTTTCCCCCTCACCTTCATCGAGGCTAAAATGCTACAGAGAGAGAGACGTTGTAGGAGTCTCATAGTGTAGTAGGTAGAAAGCTTTACTGAGTGGCCAGCAGGAATCTTGAGGAAGCATTTCAGGATGCCTGGAAGGCTGTATATTGTTTGCAAGGGGAAACGATAACTAATGATGTTCTAGATAAGATAATTTACTGCATAGAGTGATTAGAAGGTTGCCTTTAAAGATGAGGTGGTGGGTAAGGGAAAGATTACTATATTTTTTTCCCACAGTGGGAAATTAGAAGCCAGAAACAGTTGATCCATCCTGTTTACACTTCACAGCTTCAAGAAGAAATTATTTGCTCTTATGAACTAAGAGCTCTTCGAGCACTTCAAACACGCTAGAAAGGCTGTCGTTCTCTTGTGTTTTTGTTTATGTTTTGATTTTTGATTTTGCCAGCAGAGGATTTTTGCCAGCAAGAGCTACCTAGTGCTAGATGTAAATGGAGACACACAAATAAATAGCTGGAATGGCTCTAAAAGGGAGTACAGAAGACAGCTTTCATTGTCCTCTCCGCGCTTGCCAAACCAGTCGTCAGAAAGCAATTCTCCTCTTTTTGAAACGGAATAAGTTTCTGTTCCCCCCTCCTCTCCATGTGTTCCTGCTTCTTCATGGAGGAGACTTGGATTCCCATGTACTAATGCTGTACCTTTTTAAAAGTGTGGCAGTGAGTAGGAGGGGAAAAGGGCAGGGAGAATGCAATGGTAGCTGATATTGGACCTGTGTATTTTCAATCCCATTTCTAGCAGCCCTCTATTGGCACTGTTGCTTTATTCTTCCATGTGCTTAATCTGAGCTCTTTTCCCTGTCTCATTATACTGAATAATCCTATAAGACATGCTGACATGCCGACCTCCTCCTTACATTCCTTATGCCCATTGTGAAGGTGAAATCCTTGGTCAAGATATCATGACCTTTAATGTAGGTGATGTGAAATGACTATTTGCTTCAGAAAAGGGGGAAATGCACAGCATTGGGGTTTGCTTCTTCCAAATGTGGCATAGTAGAAAACTCCAGTCACTGACATGTGGCTAAATACTGGTAGTGCCAGCAGCTTTGAAAAGGTGATTAATTGAACTCTTTAATTGCAGTACAATCAGTGGAATTACACTGACAGTGTTGGAATAAAATGAACAACAAACATTAGAGGGGAGAAATGTTGATACGTTTTTCATTCCAGCAGAAAGTGTTGCTGTAATTAAACTAATGAGACTATCTTACTAGTATCTCCCTAGTCTAGATTGTCGTAGGATGATTTGGGTTCTTCTGCCTCCACAGTGGCTATTTCTGATAGGCTGTTGAACTGTAGCTCTCAGCGTCCCCGCTGAAGTCTGTTTTGATAATAGACTTAGTTTTAATGCTCATAACTATTGACTCCTGAGGACAGCCTTAATATAGAAAAGAGCAGCAAAGCTATTACTGTCCCCTCCACTTAGACAAAACAGCATTGTCTGTGGTTTGGGGTTGGCTCCCAATTGCAGGACTGAGCAGAGTGAAGTATGTAGCATTTTTCCCCCTCCAGGTGAGTAAACAGATTAAAGACATTACCAAACCAGATCTCTGGTAGTGCTGAGTACTTCGAATGAGAGAGCAAATCCGCAGTGGTCAGACAGGCCAGGAAATGAATAACTAGTGATAAACATGAATCCACCCAATTAGAGGCATTTCATAAGGGGAAACTAAAATACTGTGTGGCTTTCTCATTGCACCAAATGAAATGGTCAGTGTTCAAAATGTATGTATTCATGGTTACAGAGTAGAATAGCATTGTGTTTTATGGACTTCTGGTTGGTCGGGCTTGAATGTGTCACTGATAGAGAGCCCATTGTTGCCAGTGTCCCAAAAAGAGGGGTTCTGTTATGTACATCTTCATATATTCCGTTTACACGTGTTTCATGAAAGAGTCCATCAAAGCAAAGTAAACTGAGAGACTGATCAATGCTGTCTGTGTACTCAAAGGTCCAGTATATTGCCAGGAAAAAGTATTTCAAGAGGTAAATACTGAGTAGTCTTACTATTTCCATTTAAAAACTTGTTTTTCTACCCCAAGCTAAATGTCCTATACTAGTAAACATAATTCTAAATAAACATTTTCCTTACTGGGTAAGTTTTCCCATATGCTTACCTTGCTTGTACACTGCATGGAAAAGCTGGAAGGTGTATCTTATTTGGAGGTAGAGAGTGATCCAAGCATCCTATTGTAGAGAACCAATCTTGCACCCATTGAAGCCAATCAGTATTTTGATATAAATAGGATTGGGCACAAAGTCTACGCGTTACAGTTCACTATGGACTGAAAGCTCTAAATGTATTTTGATAGCTTCTTTCATCCCAAAGTACATCAGTGCAGAGACTGTGTTTGTACAGCAATTAACACAATCAGGCCTAGAACTTGATTGAGGCCTCTGGGAACTGGTGCAATTACAAATATTTTAATAAGAGCAGTAAACCTGCAGTTGCCAAGTGAACATCCCAACTTACTGTGCAATTCAGTCCAATGACATCAGAGATTTTCTGGCCAAGATTTCCAAAGGTGGTAATGAGTGATTTTATGGCTGCCTGGCTTGACGCCTTTTAAAGGAGCCTGATCATTTTAGGTTGGGTGCTCAGCATTATCTGAAAATGGTGAGCTGGCACCTCTTTCATGATGCTTTCTTGTTTCAGAATATAGGTTTTTCATTACAGTCGGTCAGTCTCTGGCTGTTATGGTTGCTGAAGTGCATTTGGTCTACATTTTCAAGGCTGGCTGGTGCAGTGAGGTGTACCTTCATTTGCAGAATCTGAGACTCAAGCTGTGTGTGGACTGGACTAGTAATCTCAGTAGATACTAACTCAGATGCCCAATGCAATACTTTTAATGTTACCATTGTTAACTGTTTCTCTGCTCATCGAAGCATGTAAAGATAAAGGGCCATATTATGAAGAGCTGCACAACCTACTGAGTGACAGTGGTATTGTAGCACAAGAGTGGTCTTGGAAGAGTACCACACCTGCCCTGTCTCACTCCTCAAACCCCTCTCTTCACCCCCAGTGCAAGAAGGAGTCAAAGCCCAGGGATATCTCAACCCCCTCCAAGGAGGCGAAAAGCTCAAGGATTCCAGAGAAAGGGGGTGATCATATTTTGAACATCTGCATGATTTACTGTGAGTGACATCCTAGGGGAGTAGAGCTTCTTTTTGCAAGTAGAGCTTGGAAGAATAGCATCCCCTCTCCCTTACCGCAGCCTGATTACATGTTTTTGGAAGATGTCGGTTTCCATTTTAAGTTCTCATCTAAAACCACTTGCATGTTAAGGAGCCAGTAGTAGCCATTTGGTAGAAAGACCTAAGACAGAAGGTAGCTTCTCATTCTCAGTCAGTCCTCTTTACTTCCCAAAAGGAAAGCACCACCAGAAACTTTACATTTTCCTCATTCCAGGGTAGAATTCTTCTGAGAAGCCTGGAAATATCAGAAAAGGAACTTGCTTTATTGATAGCGTGTTCTTGTTTGCTTGTTTTTAAATGTCACTTTTTGAAATCTTTCTAAACTTTTTTTGGCTTCTCATTTCCCTCAACTGCCTTGGACAACAAATTCCAAATATGTAGTTGGGTTTTTTGTGTGGTGTTGTTTGTTGTTTGCTGGCCTGGCGGCAGGGAAATGCTTTTGGCAGTGATAGCGAGGGTATCTGCAGGGGGACTGGGAGCATGCGGTAGTAACGTTTTAAAGGGCTAACTGGACCTGACTGAAACATAATTCCTTTTACTATTCAAAACAAAACTTCAGTAAAATTGCCAGTACTCCATTTATCTGAGTCTAGGTCTGTTGGACCCTTTGGCAGACTGCTCAACCGTCCCTTGGTAAGAAAAGGATTTTGAGAGTCAGAGAGCCAAACTTCCTGCTGCCTGTTCTTTTTTCATTCCAGGGGAACTATTTTTGAATTTTTCTTCATAATAACTTTACAGTGAATAACCATTAAAGAAGGTCAATACCCTCTTTGGTTTTACAGGCAACCTGTGGAGGTCGTAATCATGGCTTCCAACAGGATCTGTGTCTCCAATGAATTATGCTTTCTTGTAGTAAAACTGTTCCTTTCTGCAGAGTCCCCAGTGGCTGTTCATTCCTTTTGGTACGCTTTCACATAAACCACTCAATATTGAGGACAGATGCTACACTCCATAGTCATTCAAGCTTTCACTGGGCCATAACACAACTTGTTCAAAAAGCATACTAAAGATATTGGGCTTGATTCCTATTGCCAGAACCATGTGAAAGGACCTTAAAATGGGTGTAAATATAAGAATTGCCACCCCTTTGAGACCTCTTTACATGGTTGGAGGGGTTTTAAAAGGACTGCAGTATAAATGAGAGGCAGAACCATTGTTAATAGAACTCGCAGCTTACATCTTGAAGGTGTATCAAAAATATATGACTTTGGAAATACGAATTTTGAGCCTCAGAAGAAGGTATAAGGTTTCACTTGCTGCACTATTAGTTGGGTTGGCTTGGGAGAAACAAAAGCACCAAGGTAGTCAGCCAGGGTTTTCTTCAAAGGATAATGTTTATAACCAGAAAACCAGTCATGTAACATAAGTAAAAAATGGAGTAACAGAAAACTCCCCTGAGCTGGGGTTCAATCCAGACGTGTGAACTGGTTCCAGACCCCTGCCGTAACTGAAACATTCTCCCTCTTCTGTGTCTCAAGCAGGTAATGCATAGTCCTTTCCCTGAGCACCTGTGTGACTGGTAGAGGAAGATGAGCTAGTTAACTTCACTGGGAACAAGGTATTATCTCTGTACATACTCAGGCAACCCAGAGGGCTTACTAGCCTGTACTGAAGCCCGTTCTGCCACATTTGCACTACAATCGTTACCTGTGCTAGCTAGGTTAAAGTTAGCACAGGTATCCCCATCTGTGCAACAATCACATCTTTACTTTCACTGTAGATGTACCAAAGGGCTGGTCTACACGACCGCACTAAATTGATCTAAGTTACATAACTTCAGTTACATGAATAACGTCCCTGAATTCGACGTAGTTAGATCCACTTATCGTGGTGGCTACACTGCGCTGTGTCGATAGGAGAGTGTCTCCTATCGACTTCCCTTATGCTTCTCAGGGAGGTGTGGAATACACAAATTGACGGGAGAGTGCTCTCCCATTGATTTAACGTGTCTTCACCAGACCTGCTAAATCGACACTCGCTGCATCGATTGCAGTGCCAATCTACCGGTACGTGTGGACATGCCCTTAGAGAGGAGCAGTATGGTTATTAGCACTGCCCATTCATGTATGTGAGCAGCCAGACTTGTTCATTGCTGCCCCATGATATGGCAGGTTACCTATAAAACCAAAGAAGGTGTTGACTTTCCTTCAGTACATCTCTTGATGCCTACAGTTCTTTTGGGTTTTTGTGGTGGTCTTAGCAGTCATGGGCTGTGGACATTCTGGGCATGATTCTCATGCAGATTTAGAGCACAAACTAAAATGACTGTTCAAAATGTATGTAAAGTGCTACCAGATAATGTTTTACACTCCTATTATAAGATGTAAATAGCTACACATGATGTGAGGCAGTGGAGAATCAGGCTCTCTGTGCCCACGTTCCCTCTTTTGTGAACTTCACAGCAAGGCATTTACTTTCTTCTAAGTTTAGGAACTTGAAAATAAGGGTTAATATCTTTACTCAAAAATACATTTTGATGAATACATTTGTGTGTAAAAAAAAGTAGGAAAAAAAGTATTTGTTACATTTGGTTTTTGTACCTCCTTTTTATCTTGCACTCTGCAGCCGAGTCATTTTAGTCTGTGCTCTAACTCTACGTTTACCACTGACCAGACCCTTTTCAACTTACAATGTTACTTTTCTGAAATACGGTTTTGTAATTATGGCATGGGTGGGGAATTATTCATATGCTGACTAACCTTTTACCCTTTATTCTGGGCCCCTGGCTGGGATTGCTGGTTTGTCTCTCAAGTCTAGCCTTCCGGGTACATTGGTAGATTTAAAGTCATGTAGTTAAATTCAAAGCAGCCGTGCTTTTTTCCTGACAACTCCTATAGTAAATACTCTATGTGAATCCAAGTCTCTCTCAGTACAGAATCCCACATCCTTCCTGACTCTAAATTTCTGCTGAAGAAACTGTCTTCTGGATCTCTCTGAGGGCACTCAGATTACTGCTTCTCTCCGGGATCTTTGTTAATTAGGAAGCAAGGTAGTCAAGATCTCATCTTGCAAAAGCAATCAGTCTGCTCTGAGTTTCATTGGCTTCGGGAAGGCTGCATACAACTTGAATCCCTTTGCAAAATTTCAGGCGTTGAGTTTTATTTGATGTTTTGTTATACGCATGATTTTGATCCCTCCCTCAACATTTAAAAAAAACCAAAAAGCCTTCATCCCTTCTGCATGTTTTCTAACAACATAAGAAAAATGTGGCAGAATTTTTACTTTTAATTCTAGATGAGCTTTTTGCTTTTTTGATAAAAACTTATTGGGGGGATTTTAAAACTTTTTTTTTTTTATTCTTTCAGCTTTTAAAACGTCAGGTACCATTGAATAAACATTTGGAAATTCCAGAATGAGCCATTTTCCAGGTCTGAAGATTACACAATGATAACGCACTTGAGTGTTCTTTTTTTAGCTAATGGGTAGCTAATTTTAGAGCTGCTCACTAATGAGCTTTGAAAACTGCCAGGTCCCAGCAGGCTTTATATACCATGACCGTTAACCCTTCAGACCCTCCCAGTGCTAACGTATGCTCCATTTAGAAAATATCAGTAAATTGCTAGTGGTCTGAAAACTTGTCAGTATTTGTTTTTCACCCTGAAAACCCGGTCTTGCTGCAGTGAATTCCCAGAGCTCTTCTCTCGAGTTCCTGCTTCAGCCAGCCAGCACCCCCCTCTCACTCACATTCTCTACCATAAGAGAAAAGGTGGTGATGGAATCTTCACCAACCTCAGATATCCTGGTCCTCTTGACTCACTGGCTCCTCTTTGCTAGCCCCTGAGCTGTTCCCGTGCCATTCCCCAGAGCGATGGAGTGGATGTTCTTGCAATTCTCTTAATACCAGGTCTTTCACACACCTGACAGAGGAGGGAGAGTAGCTGAGGCAGGATGTTCTTTCCCCATCCCACTATATCCTGCAGGGTGGTCACAAGACAATATCAATGATTTGGCCCTAGTGGGGTTTTTAAAAAAGGGAAGTTATGAGCCTAAAGGAAAAAAGATAGGAAATAGCCATCTTTGAGCCCTGTGCAAAGTTGGCTTTCCTGCAAGAGTGAAGATTGGGCATTGGTTAGAGGGGCAGAGTGAATTTTATTCATTAAATCTGAGTGCTGAATCTCCTGGCCCTGTCTTGCTTTGGTTAGAACTATTTCTAATAATGTTTTAATAAATACAGTTTTACAAATGTGACGGTCTCTTAACAAACTTTTATTTTATTTTTTCGGGAGGAATTGGCTCTTTGAGAAGTAAGCTCAGCCTGATGTGATTAACCAGGTACTCTGAGACTGGCTTCCTTCTCTTCTGCCTTTCATTTGTCTCATCTATGCTTCATAATAGACTTATTTCCTGAACATTATAAAGATGTATTTAAGATGAACATTTGCAATTCAGTTTAAATCAACTTCTGCAAAAATCATCTATTACATGGATAAGGTAAAGTTTAGGACCTTGAACATCTGTTTTTAACTGGGCTATGAAATGCTGAGAGTAAAACTTCAGGAAATTAAAATATAAACTTCCCTGCCTCTTTCCTGAAGGGGCAGGAGCTGGGGACAGGCCTGTATGCTTATGCCATTATGTTAGGTTAACACTTTGGATGTCCAAAGACATCCCCTATTCTTTTATTGCTTGGCCATAAGCTGTCATGTAGAACCATTCAGTATATAAATGAATTGCCTTGGAATCTCAGCGTCAGTAGTTGGGTGGTTAACTCTTCTATAAAGATGTGTGCTGGAATTAGGAGAGCTGATCAGCTGTAAGCTCCCCATTTGAACTATGTCAGCAAACCACACCTGATTACTATCCCAGATGTGCCTCTTGAGGTCTCTTAAAACTCCAGTAGTGACCATGAATCAATTGCCCTTTTCCTTCTCAAGAGCAAACACCTGCATGTCTGAAATGTAGAAATGCCTTTCTTTCCCTTGGGAATAGAGATGACTCTTACCAGCAATTACAGACTTTAGACTAACATCCACTGAAAAGCAAAGCTCTTTCTTTTTGAAACTCCTCGAAAGAGCAGTTTGTAGAGCACTGTGCCCCACTGTCTTCAGTATTATTAGACTCTACAGTCAGGTACTTTTTAGGATACTCAAGTTCTATAGCATTCCTGAATTTAACCAATCCTAGTTTAAGCATACCCTATATTCATATATGCATTGTGTGCATATATATTTCCTGCTGGCTTGGTGATTGGCTTTTTATACATAACTGAGATACATTACACTTAACATTGCTACCTGTAATGCATTGATTTTATCATAGCTTGCTTATGGGTGTATGGCGTGGTGGGGGTTCTGACAGGAAGGGGACAATGCTATATACTCAACTGTTATATGAATTGCATTTTTTAAGCTAGCTCTATTTTGCAAAAATGCAGTCCTCAAAACTGTATTTGCAAGGATAAACTGGCTTCTCTAATCGGTTGCGGAGAGGCAACACTGAAGCTAGACCATAAATATGGGGATTGACTATCTGTGAAAAAGAAATTCCAGCCACTAAACTTTGTGCATGAATGTGACAGAGAACATCCATTGATAGATTTAAGACCAGAAGGCACCATTAGATCATCTAGTCCAACCCCCTGCGTAACACAGGCCAGAGAACTTCATCCAGTTTACTCCTGTAAAATTTGCAAAAAGTCTGGTTTTCAGATAATCCGATTCTGGCAAAGCTTTTTATAATGTTCACTAATTAAATCCTATATGACTTCCCCTCTCCCAAGTGTTTTTATACTTGACCTATTATTCTCTCACAATCTTTAAACAAAGAATTTAAAGCCATATGTGTTATGTCCTTAAGTCTGTCCTACTGAAGGTATCCACTGTACATGAGTTGTCCTATTCAATTGAGGGGTTCTATAGGAGATTTTAATTGATAAATAATTAGGACTTAAAGGCCAAACGTCTAGGAAAGGGCTTTATTTAAAGAGTTATAAAAGTTAAGCTCAGCCTGCTAAGAAGTGTTTAGGTTGGAGGATAAAATTATTGTAACTAAAAGGACATTTTTATTCCTTAAGTTTTACCTGCTCTGCAACACGTTTTGTGTATACATGGAAAGTTTTGCCATGTTGGTTTACAGGAATTGCCCTAATAGTGTTGACTTTCACAAATAAAAATTAGTGCAAATAACTTTTAATAATTCCAAAGAAATCTTTCTGGGGCTGTTTTTACTCCGCTCCACTCCCCAATTCTGTTTCCCAGTTGTGTGCATACTTAGTTCTAACGGGTTAGTAATACTAAAAGTACAGGTTTATACACAATGAGTAGAGCTGGCTGAAAAATTCTGAATTATTTTGAGGAGGATAAACAATTTTGTCATTAAATTTTTTTTATTATTATTTTATTTTGACCAGTTCTAATAGTGGGCCTTGTTCTCCACTCCATGATTCCCACCCATTCTTACACAGGTGAAATTCCAGTGCAGTCAGTTGAGTTCCACAGGCATAAAACTAGTGTAATAGAGTGGAGAGTCAGACACTGTGAATAAATAGAAGATTTTTTAAAACTGTCTTTAAGTTGTGCTACATAGTGCCGCAACAATAATATAAGTGTATGTACCCTGGAGTTCGCCTTTTGGGAATTCCATCCTGCATAATGATTTGGGAAGGAAATAATTTAGTTAATGAGAGAGTGCCCTTTTTTATGTTTTAAGATACTGGTAGGGTGTAGGGTTGGTTTGTTGAGCCCATATAAGCATTCAAAAGGCAATCCTGAAAGGAGAATGAATAGATAAAAACCATTCATCTCTAAGTTGGTTCCTGATACAGCTGTAATGTCAGGAAATCAAGAAATAAAGCTTGATGCTGTTAATATTAGTATGGCTAAAACTTTCTGAATATTCCCTGCCTCCTTCACCTCACCCCAAACTAAAAAAGCCATCTTGGGTGATACTTTGATTTAAGGCACAGACCTGAGCAAGGAGTGATGCTTAAGCTATTTAATCTCAGGTGTTGAGGGACTTGATTAGACTAAAATTGAGGGAGGGAAAATAGTGAAAATAACAGGCCTGTTGCTTTTGTTTGTGGTGTTTTTATTTATTTCTTGGGCAGTGTACTGAGTACTACGAAGGATATGGAGTAGACAAGCCCTTGCACCAAGACATTTACAATCAGAGATCAGCTATTACAGTAAGCTCATGCATTCCATGCTGGAGAGAACAGAAGGAATGGTAGGGGAATGCCTTTACTGAATGTCACCATTGGAAAACTTGAGTGATGAGCTTGCTGAGATGCATGCTAAAAAGGAGGTGCCCTGAAAGAAGAGGAATGGTAACAGTTACCCAAGGCAGTCTAGTCTATTTTTATGTATCAGTAACATACTTAATGGTTCTTTTAATACTGTTTAAAGCTCTCACATTACATATCATGGGCAGCATTGTCTGTATTAAACTTGATTTATTTTTTAGAGGGACTGTATGTGTAGCAGGCTGTCAGAATTACTAGGCAGCTTACAGCTACCACAGGAAAAAATTCTACCTCTGAAGACTGGATACAAGCAGGATATAAGCACCTTTGGTTCCCTGTAGTCTGGCTGCCAGCTCTAGCATTGTAACAACAATTGTATTGTCATCTTGGATATGAATTTAAATATGTTGTCTGCAGAATTATTCATGTTTCCTTGCTTAAGCATGTGCCTTACTTGCAGAGGCAGGTTTGCAGTCCCTGGAATGCTGCTTTAAGTTCTGATGTCTGTTTTCTCTCTTTTTTTTTTTTCAGTCCACAGTCATGAGTGAACCCCAGTGCTACTACAATGAAAACATTGCCTTCTTTTATAACCGGAGTGGAAAATACTTAGCCACTGAATGGAACACTGTCAGCAAGCTTGTGATGGGACTGGGTATTACCGTCTGTATCTTCATAATGCTGGCCAACCTCTTGGTTATGGTGGCTATTTATGTCAACCGCCGCTTCCACTTTCCTATTTATTACTTAATGGCCAACTTAGCTGCTGCGGACTTCTTTGCAGGGCTGGCCTACTTTTACCTAATGTTTAACACGGGACCCAACACTAGAAGATTGACTGTAAGCACCTGGCTTCTTCGCCAGGGTCTCATTGACACTAGCCTGACTGCCTCTGTAGCCAATTTGCTGGCCATTGCTATTGAGAGGCACATTACAGTCTTCCGAATGCAGCTGCATACTCGGATGAGCAACCGACGAGTGGTGGTAGTAATTGTTGTCATCTGGACTATGGCCATTGTCATGGGTGCCATACCAAGTGTCGGCTGGAACTGTATCTGTGATATCACTCACTGCTCCAATATGGCGCCACTCTATAGTGACTCTTATTTGGTCTTCTGGGCAGTTTTCAACCTGGTCACTTTTTTGGTCATGGTGGTCCTATATGCTCATATCTTTGGGTATGTCCGCCAAAGGACTATGAGAATGTCCAGACATAGTTCTGGGCCCCGCAGAAATCGGGACACCATGATGAGTCTTCTGAAGACCGTGGTCATTGTGCTTGGTGAGTGTCTGCTTCAGCAAAAATGTTCCTCTCTGTTTCCCATAGCGTAAGTTAATAAAACATTTCATTAGTGCTAGAGGAGAACTGGAACATGCATGCTCAACCTTCCCATTGGCACATCATAAATTTGTGGGGGATGGGAAAGGGAGTGATGAGCGAGCGAACACCAAGTGTTCATATCAGTCTTGCAATTACCGTATTTATGGCAGTGATATCTGAACCTCAATCATTCTATAATTCAACATCTGTCCTGGTAATATAATTTTTTTAAGGGGAACACTTCAGGGAGTGATGGAAAACAGGACATGGATTATAATGCTGATATGCAAAAGGCAGAAACAGTCCCTTCCCCAGGGGAAGCTTCACTTACATTTCGTGGTCCATTATAAACCTGCCCAATGCAGACATATACCCTCTTTCATAGAAACTTTATCCCCTGAGAGTCTTCCTGGTGCTAGGCCTGTGTATTTGGCAGAGCTAAGCAGCTGCAGCGCAGAAGTGGCACAGAGGTAGCTGCTACTTGCTGCATGCTTTTCATCTCCCAGGTAAGTACCCGCTGTGTTTTCCCTCTCTTGTTGCTCAAGAAGCGGCGCACTCTCACAGGTGTCTGTTGCCATATTTGGAGATAGTCCAGGTAACAAATGCTTGACTTGCTTTTGTGGCACAAAACCGTTCCCTCTGTTCAGTGACTGATGACGTCAAAAACTATTATATCTCACCAAGTGAAGTGAAAGTATGTCTCGCTAGGTTCAGATCTCTATTATATAATGTTCAAATGCATGGACATCTTTGTTATATTATTAGTTACATTAACATGAATTGGTGGAAGTTTATATTTAACTGCCTACTGATTAATCTTGGAGCAAGAGGCAAGCATCTGTGCTTTAGTTTCATCAATACAAGCAGGTAAGTGTTGGTGTGCTGACTTAGCTCACGCTTCGGTAGAGGAGCAAATGTCTGTGTGCCATAGCAAGAACAAGCTGGAAATTTACCAACAATCCATGTTACTGTATTGTCTCTTTACTTGCATCATTATCATGTTTTGCTTTTCTCTCTAGGGTAGAAAAAATTGTTTTGAGGTGGGTAAGATAAAATGGGTAAACTTTTCCCTTGATTCATGGACTGCCCTGCTCCACTCAGCACTGTTTTTAAACCCAACCCATCCTACCTCCCTTTCGCCAAATTCAGGCAGGCAGATGAGGTTCAGAAGAAAGCTTCAGCTCTGAGCATATCTTCTGAAAGCAAATCTACATTTTCCCTTTTGGATGAACTGCCACTCTTTCCAACTGTGTAGCAGTAAAGTACTTCCTGTCACGTAGCTGGCTGGTTAAATCCCGTAAACCAGGCAAATAGTAAGCATTTCTATCCGTGCTTTGAAATAGTAAAAAATACTGAGTAAATCTCATGTGGTAGTTAATGCCAATTATGCTTGGGACTAAGATTGTCTGTGCAGGTAAAAATGAGGGGAAATCTCTCTCCACTCTTCTCCTTTCTCCTCGCAGTTCAACCAGAAGTTTATGCTGAAGAGTTGAGTATCAGATACAGCCTTTCCTTAATAGTAAGGCTGAGCTGAGAACTTAAACTGAGAGACCTTCTCTCCTGGGGCATTGCTGAAAACAGTAGAAAAAACTCAGAAGGTTAATTAGCATAAATCACACTAATTTAATGTCACTGCTAGTATCTTTAAATAACAACCACCATGGCTCCTTGGTATGTTATTCTGAATAATAATTGTTAGCATATGCAGATTGCTACATAATTTTAACAGGCTCATTGCACTTGACATTACTGATTCTGTAATAGTGCTGACATCCATTCAGTGATGCTCATATTCTCTGTATGCACTAAATCTTAGGCCATGTCTACACTCGCAAGCTTACAGTGGCACAGCTGTACCAATACAGATGTGCCACTGTAAGAGCGCTTGTGTGCCTGCAGCAAACTGACAGGAGGGAGCTCTCCCGTTGGCATAATAAAAGCAGGGCCAACAAGCAATGGTAGCTATGTCGGTGACAGATGCTCATCTGAGCGCTTACGCCAGCAAAACTTGTGTTGCTCAGGGGAGTGTTTTTTTCACACCCCTGAGCAACAAAAGTTTTGCTGACATAAGTGCTAGTGTAGACGTGGCTGTAGTCCCATAAAACACTTCTTGAGAAGTCTTATAAAATTGCTTTCCTTAAAAAACAAGAATGAATGCGCAGGTTCCAGCACTTTACTGTGTTTGTTTTACTGTGTGGCCAACTCTTCTATGAAATGGCGTAACAGGATATTAAGTATAGGGCACTTGAAGTAGCCTTTTAAAAGTAGATTAGATGCTTACATGAAAAATAGAAGCTGTAGTTACACTTGCTAGGACAATCTACAAGGGCTGTGAATCCTCATGATCCAGGGTATTGGGCTGACTGCTAGCTGGGGTCAGGAAGGAACTCACTGTACCACTCTACTGGGTGTATTATTGCCATTAGCTATATGTTTGGGGGGCTTCTTCTGGAGTATCGGACATTGGTGGCTGTGGGGACCAAGGGACTGAAGTAGGTAGACGACCAGTCTGTTCCAGTAATTTTCCTTATCTGTAGAAGCCAATTAAAAGTCAACATTCAGCAACCATAGCCACACAGTTGTTATAGCTGTCGCCTTTGTGGCTGTGATTTGCAAATGCTGATTTCATAGTGATGACCACTGTAAGGATTACCGAAAAAAGTAAAAATTAGTATTTGAGGCCAACATATTCAAACTTGGGTCTCTAAAATTACCATCAAGGCCCCAGTTCAGCAAAGAACTTAAGCATGGGCTTAAATCCCATTGGGTCTTAAGCACATATGTAAGTGCTTTACTGAATGAAGGCCTTGAATAGGTTGCATGGTTTTTATAGCCTTTGACCACCTGTACAGTCACCGGTGCTGAACCCCTCGGAAAATCAGCACACTTGCCTATGTATGAAACATGGACTTAGCTTTCCCACTTTGGCCTCCAGATGCATTTGGACTCTGGCCTTCAGGTTTAATTTCCTCTAATTCTCGTATGAGTTATTCCTCAGTATTAAGGACAACAGTTTGTTGGCATGGTTTAATGGTGATCCATCAGCCAGTGAGTGATGCCTTTCATGCAATCACGGCACAATGAATAGAGGTGGAAGTTTCTAGCTGGGCTTTCCAGTGAGACTTTCAAAGCATAGCTTTCTATATCCACACTATATTATTCGCCAGTATGGATCTCAGTAAGAAATCAGACTGTCGGGGAGGAGGGGAGCCAGAGAAGGTGCGGGGGGTAACATAATCTTGACTTCTAGAGGCCTGCTTTTAGGTCTGGTTGAAAATGTTCATGGTGAGCAAAATGAGCTTGATTTCAGTTATAGCAGCTTCTAAATGTCTTTCTGTATAGCAGACTGACCGCACAAGTACACTGTAGGGAAACTGTGCTGGGATTGGTTTCCCAGCCATGGGATAAGATATATTTTCAGACCCGTGTGGAAAAGCTCATGGAATGTTTATCTCTATTCTACTTGGCTCTTTCCAAATCAGCTTTCTCTTTCTGCCTCAGTACATTACCCAGAAGAGTAGAAGTTGGGCTTTCTTGGTGGTCTAGCCGTCAATGCAATGTAGTGCATTAAAGTCTGAGGCAAAGCTCAGCCCCTCTACAGAGAGAGGGGAAAGGAAGTGCCTTGGTTTTATTCTCACAAGATCTTCTCCCCTGAAATTCCCTGCAGCTGACTCAAGAATGCAGTTAGTGCGTGCTAGTCCTCTAGAACTGGAAGACCGGGTTTGCTCAGCACAGAGCTGCTTTGGTGCAGTGTGGGGAGGGTAAGGTGAGGATCAGAATGAAAAATGAGTGGGGGAAAGGGGCTCTAGAGGAATCCTCAAATATAAATCAACAAACACTGCAAAGAGATGTAATGCTGATCTTATTTTATAGTCCTCTGAATCCATAAATATCCTCCCCATAAGTCAGTCAACAAGGGATTCTTTCAATTGATTTCTAAACTTACATAAACTGGTCTTTCTGAAGTTAGCCCATGAGCGTAGAATTCTTTTCCGTCCATCCTTACTGCAGTTTCAAGGGGAGGCGGATAAACAAAAGAACTTCTTGTTTATCAGCCCCAGTAAATGCCTAACAGTGTCTGCCATCCCCACATCTCATTGCCTTGCTCCAAGCGGACAGCCACCCAAGAGGGAAAAGAATCCTCTTCTGATGGCTATGCTGTCAACATGTGTGGGGTGGAATCCAATTGAGTTGCATAAGAGGACTCATTGTTTCCCCAATGACTAAGAGGGCTTGAAGCTCTGGCTGGAGCGGTCGGGAGCCGGCACACTGCGTCATCCCACAGAGCTGCTAGCGTGTTGAATCCTGGGACTGAGTCAAAGCAGAAACTAGATTTTTTTTTTCTTTTTTTGCTTTTCATGCCCGTTTATGTTTTCCCCTTGAGTAAAATATTTTAAACAGAAGGAAGTGATTTCATAGTTGAGGCCTTTCTTTTAACAAGGCCTCTTTGGAAATCTGTAATATAACAAGAACATAAAGCTCTTTCTCCATAACATGCCTTTTTGCTCTGCTTATGCAGAATTGATTCGTATAACAAACACAGATGTAAAGCAGGGTCTCGGTTAGGCTGAGACTCAAACCATACCGACAGCATTTCATAATTGCAGTGTTATATTAAAGTAGAAAAGGGAATTTGCAGAAAGAACCGAACTGATACAATAAGCTTAAAACATGCAGCTTTTCCCCTTTGTTGCTTATCTTCGAACGCTCTTTGAGGATGAAGTTAAACCAGTTTTCCTATTGGGTTTTTAGTTAAGTTGTTATCTGAATCTTCTTCGCTAGCCAGATGCAGGGCTGGAAACATTCGCTGCTATATGAGGAAGACGGGTATTAAAGCTCTGAACCAGGACTCTAGAGATCTAAGTTCAAATCCGAGCATCATCTTAGACTACAGTACTTGTGTGACCTTGGAAAAAGTACTTACCGCCAGATTTTTTTTAATGCTATTTAGGTGTCTAGGT